AGCCCTGTCATCTGTAGAAATTAAAAGTAGAAGACCTGAAAATAGAGGGCTCTGCAATAAAGCTATCCTTAAGAATCAAAAGTTTTTAAGACAACTTTATTGCTTCATGCGCCACTGAAAATCTAGCTTCTTGAATTACTATATTTTGACTATCATTGGGCACCAAGCCCCCATTTTTAAAGCAAATTAATTGAACCAAGGAGCATGTCATGGGAAACTCTGATTTATAGCCAAACATCCAGAAGTTCAAGTAGTGACCTGCGACTGCCATCCTCAGTTGTAGAGCGTTGAAGCAACCTCCAGTACATAGCCAGTGGGTCAGAAGCACATGTAACAACCTGAGCTTGTGACTGGTGTCTGAGTTGAGGGTGGGAGACAGGCTTGTAAAACAGTCCTTAGCCTTTGGACTTGATGCTCTTTTTAGGTAAGTAATTTCAGAATTTAGTTGAATTGTAGGATGCCCAGCTGGTGTCTGGAGGATTGCTTGGTATGTGGGGGAAACCTTCCCCATGAAACACTCATGTTGATATTGGGTCCAGGAACCCAAAAAGAACTATCTTCCCCAAAAGATTGAGTTGAGCAAGTATAAAATCTGGCTAATCATGTATAATTTTAAAATACTATTCTTCATATGTTGCTTTATTTATTGCATACTCCATGGGAAGAAATATGCTGATATCTGAGGAGTATGGCTTTTACACATGATATTATGTGGTCTCCAAAGCAGCTTTGATGGGGGGAGTGCTTCCTAGAATGAATTCCACAGTTTCCTTTGTAGATATTACATTACACATATCAACCACTAGCTACTAAGAAATTTCTGGGTAAGGTTTGAAAGTAAGTCTTTCTTGAGAATACGAGAATAGGTATTTGCCTCAGATTGAGTTCTGGGCTTTTGGTGAGGCTCTTCATTTTTTTTTTGAGTTGGCTGTATGGGACAACCAAAATATGTTGCAGTCTTCTAGCTGTGATGATGATGTGATGAACCTGATAGTTTTAGTTGCTTTCTTGAGGTTCACGGAATATTGACAGTGTGTTGCATTGCTTTCTACATTTTTGTGCTGGAAAATTAGGAAAATCATCTCACTACTGGGAAGCCTTTTGTACCAATACAATATATAATGTATAATCCTGGTATCATATGAACTGTCTAGTTCCACAATCTTACTCTCATGCCTACATGTTTTTGGTTGGACTTGAATGACCTTCTGG